TCCTTAGGAGATAAGGATTGCTACAAATAAAGGGGATGATTATCCTAATCCTATAATGATTAGGATATCTACAACATATGGATAAATACAAGGGAGGATAATGACAAGTCTTGGCCGCCTAGTCTTGGGACTGAAGTAGACTGATGTGGTCTGGTCCATTTCCGGATATGTCCCAACCACCATCTTCATTTCTTAACATATGTTTTGCTGCAGTAATCATTGTATTTGCAAACATCCATTTATTTATCATCCAGTTAAAATGTTTATGATAAAATAAAATCACAGAATGGCCCATTCGTTGGTTCAAGTATCAATATGTCTCTCTGTATATATATACATTGGTCTGCTTCATCTTCCAAAAATATTGAATACTTTGTCGGAGACCTCTCTCTCTCTCCAAATATATTTTTCTTTCATCCAAAACAAATCTTCATCAATCTTCTTTAAATTCACGTGAATCTCCCGGATAATAGCAAACCAGTAGAAAAATTAAAACGTTAAATAATATTATCTGATACTATGAGTTGCAATGGATGTCGTGTTCTCCGGAAAGGTTGCAGCGAGAGTTGCATCCTCCGTCCCTGTATCCAGTGGATCGAATCCGCCGAAGCTCAAGGCCACGCCACCGTCTTCGTCGCTAAATTCTTCGGCCGTGCCGGTCTCATGTCATTCATCTCCTCCGTACCGGAATCTCAGTGCCCTGGTACTTAAACCAACTACTCCAGATCTTTTCTTTTCTTTAAACGGCATCATCGTTTTATAATCATCGTAGGGGTATTTTGATCATTTTCAGCTTTGTTTCAGTCCTTGCTCTACGAAGCTTGTGGAAGAATTGTGAATCCGGTGAACGGCGCCGTCAGGTTGTTGTGGATGAGGAACTGGAGTATCTGTCAAGTGGCGGTTGAGACGGTGCTCCGCGGTGGTTCTTTGAGACCGATCCCTGAGCCTCTTACATGTTACGGCGGATTCGGGGGATTTCCGTCGACGATTTCCAATGAAGCATCCGGGATTAGCACGGAGATGATGAATGATTCCGGTGACCGGAGTATCTACCACCACAGCCGATTCTCGGGCTCCAGGTCCAGATCGGTGGCTTCTCCGCCTAAACGGAGACGATTAGGGTCAGAACAACAACGACCGTCGCCGGAGCTAGATCTCTCTCTAATCCCTTTCCCGATTCGAATGACACCGTTCAAGGAGGAAACTCGTCGACCGGAAACACCATCGATGTACTCGGAGGAATCCATTATGACAGTGCCGTTTCTGGATAATGGTGAACGGTTTGTACGCAGCGGAGGAGAAACGGCAAATGGCCTGTTTGTTTCACCATCCAAATGACTCATCTGGATGAAGATTTAGACACTAAAAGTACAACTCATCTAGATGGATCATTCGGATGACTTTGAAATTTTAGGTTTAATTTTGAAGTCCATCTGGATGGACCAATTTGAACCATCTGGATGGAGATCGTTATTCCAAAATTGTAAAATGTCTATTATACCCTTTTATATAGTTCATAAATTACAAACCTAAACATACTATTATTTTGTAACTTACATGACAAAACCATATTTCCTCAAATAGCAAAACAGTATTTTTCTGCCAAAACCGTAAAAATACATTTTTCCACCAAAACTGCAAAAACGTGTTTTCTCGCCAAAATCGCAAAAAAACGGATTTCCTGCCAAAAATGCAAAACACGTTTTTCCGCCAAAACAGTAAAAACGTTTTTTCCCAGCTAAAAACGCAAAAATGTGTTTCCCGCCAAAACCGCAAAAACGCATTTTCCCTCCAAAACCGTAAAAACACGTTTTCTCGCTAAAATCGCAAAACTCGTTTTTCCGCCAAAACGCATTTTCCCGCAAAAACACGTTTTTCCGCCAAAACCGCAAAAATATGTTTTCCTACCAAAACCGCAAAAATACGTTTTCCTACCAAAACCGCAAAAATACGTTTTTCTACCAAAACCGCAAAAATCCGTTTTTCCGCGAATACGCATTTTCCCGCAAAAACCGAAAAACATGTTTTCCCGCCAAAACCGCAAACACACGTCTTCCTACCAAAACCGCAAAAATTCGTTTTCTCGCCAAAACGCGTTTTCCTGTAAAATCGCAAAATGCGTTTTCTCGTAAAAACCGCAAAAATACGTTTTCTGCTAAAATCGCAAAAACACGTTTTTCGCAAAAACGCGTTTTCCTGCAAAAACACATTTTTCCCGCATAAACGCATTTTTCCGCTAAAATCGCAAAAATGTGTTTCCTTGCTATAACTGCAAAAACGCATTTTTCAACTAAAACCGCAAAAATGTGTTTTCCCGCCAAAACATGTTTTCTCGCCAAAACTGCAAAACCCGTTTTTCTGCCAAATCTGCAAAAACTCATTTTCGCGTCAAAATTATAAAAGTTAATATATTTAAAATTAATATCATACATATGACTAAATCAAAACAAGGATATTTTAGTAATTTTTTTTACCAGACTCATCTAGATGAAGAAGAAAAATAGAGAAACAAATATGAGTCCATCTAGATGATCCATCTAGATGGACCATCTGGATAGACAAACAAACAATCTAAAAAATGTGAATGGACTATCTAGATAATTCATATAGATGGATTAGTTGGATGGAGATGATAGATGGTGAAATAAACAGCACCAAAGTTGTTCAACCTTTTCGCTTAAATGGCATCGTTTGGGTTTAAAAATTGTTATTTTTTGATAAACCTTTTTTGCCTCTTCGTGGATTAATATTTTGGGAAGTTAGCACACTGGCAAATTACGTGATTGTTTTTTATTATATCTGCTTAATTATGAAAAATTAACGTAAGTAGTGTGTACGATGAAGGAATATTTGATCCCAAAAAAAAATGTATATACAAAATAAATGATAGTAATAATCATGGGTGAAGTGAGATTACACATAATACACATCTTCCAAAACCAAAGGAACGGCCAGTTCTTTGCACCTAGCATACTTCGATTCTTTGAGGACCGACATGTTGCATTTGCGTATACACACATGATTATAGATTTAGAATACACATTGATATTATTCTTATAATAAACTTGGTTACCATCTATATATATAAACATGCTGAGATAATTATTGCTACTTGATATTTTTTTCACTTCACCCAGGTCAATTTTGGAGTCTTTGTAAAGCCACCAATATTGGTTTGAGCTTCTTAATTTTTATATAATGTTAGACTCTCCCGGACTATGCTCAAGTTTATTTTTATAAATTTTTAATTTTTAAAATATTAAGGTATTTCTATTCGATTATATAATTTATATATATTGAAAAGAATGACAAATAAAACTATTAAAATGAAATTTAAATGATTCAAATATAAAACGTAAGCAATAATAAAAGCGTACATATTACATTATTCAAAATATTATTACAGTAGAAACAATTTGGTTACAATTCAAAATCATTTTAAATTTTATTTTTTTAACTATTCATTCATTCAATCTTCTGGATTTTTTACTTAATTAGTGGCTAACATTTTTTTTTAAGTTTTAGCAATAAAACTATTTTTCTAGAAGTATGCATGATGAGCATAACATGATTTTTTTATAGGTACATGGCCTAACCTTAAGCCCAAAAATGAAAAATAAGATGACAAATTAATCAATAATTATATTCCAAGTATTTTGAAAACAATTTTATTTTCGGAATCTAATTATAATTTTAGAATAGTTTTATCAATATCTTCTCAAATTTCAACTCACTGTAACATCAATACCGGTCTCTCAAAATTAAGAAATGCAGACCCTGCAACATTAATATATTACTCATCACACTTAGATCACTGTTTGACCCAAGAAACAAAAATTTATCTACCATGTATTTATATAATCAATCTTTATGCAAGGAGATTGTACCTTTTACCAAACGGTTGTCATATTTCTCTCTTGATTCCCAACGAAGAAGACATGATGGCAAGTTTCAATCATGATGAGCATAACATGATTTTTTTTACAGGTACATGGCCTGACCTTAAGCCCAAAAATGAAAAATAAGATGACAAATTAATCAATAATTATATTCCAAGTATTTTTGAAAACAATTTTCTTTTCGGAATCTAGTTATAATTTTAGAATAGTTTTATCAATATCTTCTCAAGTTTCAACTCACTGTAACATCAATACCGGTCTCTCAAAATTAAGAAATGCAGACCCTGCAACATTAATTTATTACCCATCACACTTAGATCACTGTTTGACCCAAGAAACAAAAATTTATCTACCATGTATTTATATAATCAATCTTTATGCAAGGAGATTGTACCTTTTACCAAACGGTTGTCATATTTCTCTCTTGATTCCCAACGAAGAAGACATGATGGCAAGTTTCAATCATGATGAGCATAACATGATTTTTTTTACAGGTACATGGCCTGACCTTAAGCCCAAAAATGAAAAATAAGATGACAAATTAATCAATAATTATATTCCAAGTATTTTTGAAAACAATTTTCTTTTCGGAATCTAGTTATAATTTTAGAATAGTTTTATCAATATCTTCTCAAGTTTCAACTCACTGTAACATCAATACCGGTCTCTCAAAATTAAGAAATGCAGACCCTGCAACATTAATTTATTACCCATCACACTTAGATCACTGTTTGACCCAAGAAACAAAAATTTATCTACCATGTATTTATATAATAAATCTTTATGCAAGGAGATTGTACCTTCTACCAAACGGTTGTCATATTTCTCTCTTGATTCCCAACGAAGAAGACATGATGGCAAGTTTCAATCACTAAAAAGTCTCCATCAGTGAAAGGATGACAACAACATGCAAAGAAGTGAATAGTGAATCAAACAAATATACTCAAAAATGGAACTTTGTTCGAAATGTATATTTTGCAAAGGGAAAGGTGAATTCTCAGAGAGTGTATTAAGTGCAGTGGGAGCAAGATGTCTCCACCTCTGTGTTCTTTTAGCAAAATCAAGCTTGCTTTTAGCCTCTGAGTACTTGTCAAGGTCATTGATGTTCGTACCATAAGTTCCAAGAAATCTGCAAAAAAAAAAAAACCCCAACAGGTTTTAGCTAAAAACGAACTACATTTAAGCGATTGTGTTTTGTAAGTAGAGTAATCATACCTGACATCGTCCACATCAAATGAGTGAGGATTTCTACATGATCTGAAGGTGTTATCGGGGGAAAAGGCAACTGATCGGTGGCTGTAGAAATGAAAACCGGCCTTAAGATAATGTCCATACTAACTTTGTAACACCCGTCGCCTCCTACTTGGAGTACCGCGTGTCACCCGACGCGTTCTGAAATAACAATATGACACCCGTTTCCCTCTCTCTAGGGACAACGGGCCACCAATAATATCTCGTAACATAAAAATCCAAAATCCCAAATACACTCGCCCAAGCCCAAATAAAAGAAATCCGAATAAAATGTCCAATAGCACCAAGTCCGTCCAAATATCACCTTATTGCTTATCTCACCTGAAATGGAAAGAAAGAGGGGTGAGCGACTGGAGAGTCACTCAGTGAGATATGGGATCCTACCCTGAAGTCCGTAGACCCGGACATAGCACTCCAAATAAATATAAATTAATTCTAATGCATGTCAAACACGGTACCTAAAGTACCCACACAAACAAGCAATGGTCCTAGCGAGACGCACTCTCTGCCCACTAACAGGCCAAAAACACCACCCACACTAGGGCTAAACAACATAACAACCACTGAGGATAGTGCCCCGGCACCGCTCGTAGACGATTTATGGACCCTAAGTTACGGCACAACCGGTCGACTAAAGTTGGCCGTAACCCTAAAACAATCTGGCATACAGAAGTCCGTCTCCGTATCCGACCAAAAAATTACTAAATGATTTACATTAAGCGAAGCAATCAATGTTGAACCATCTGACACCTTATTCTGGTTTATGCAAAGAATTCTAAACCTAAACAAGCAGACACCAATCAGACCCTAAATTAGACTTAATTCACAAAGACAGAACACATTAGAAATAAATTATATTTATTTAAAGTTCTGAATCGCGTACGAATCGTTCGGAAGTAGACCCTCACCTCAGCAACTGGGGAAAAGTTGTATCTATGAACTCCATCTGCTCAAATAGATCCCAAATTTGAAATCAGATCGAAATTCCGAGTCAGAATAGCCTTCAAACTGTCGAAAACGGGCGTGTACAAAAAAGTCAACCCGCTGGTCAAAGATCAACCCGATCAACTCTGACCCAAGCCGGTCAACCCTTGACCAAATTGAAATCGAATTGGACCAATCGGTTTTCCTTAAAATTCGATTTCAATTGAACCGGATCCAAATCAATTACAAATCGGTTTACTCCTAACCAAAATTCAATTGATTTTAACCACCGGTTCACCTTAACCAAATCGCAATCGGATTGAACCGGGTCAAACCAGTCAACCAACCGGTTGACCGAGTCAACCAAGTTGACTCGGCTGAGTTGACCGAGTCACCGACGAGTCACCGGCGGCGACGGTGGCCCGGCGGCGTAGGGACGGCGGTCCGGCGGTCCGGCGGCAGCGACACGGCGGTCCGGCGGCGGAGCACGGCGGTCCGGCGGCGGAGCACGGCGGCAGAGACGATTCCCGGCGGCGGCGCATGTTTTTCACGCGCGTGCACGGCCAAACTTCCAGAGGCGCGTGCGGCTTCATCTGAGCTCCGATTGAGGCGTTTTTGGTGTCTACGGCTTCGTCTCAACGAGTAGAACACGGTGGTGGCCTTTCATGCACGAGATTCTCAACGATTCAGAAGTTATTGACGATTTACTAAACAGAGAAAACAAAGCTTCAACTCACTGCGATTTCTGGTTACTTTGGCCGTGGTGGACGGTGGTGATGAGCTCTGCCTAGTGTCGAAGAGTGGTGGTCCGGACGAGCTCCGGTGATGGCTCAGACATAAGGGTTTTCTCCATTCCTCTCTCTCTCTCTCTAATTCTTTTTCTTGCAACAAATAGAGCTGATGGGGTGGGAGCTGGGTATTTATAGGAGAAAAGGGGGGTATGGGGTGAGTCTTAGCCGGCTAACTAATTCCGGGGTTAGAGTCGGGTCGTTACAAACTTTTTCTCTAGAGTTGTTATGTATTTGCAAACCTGCTGAGGTAATGCCGAGTTACTAGATCACACCTGAAATTATATCTACTGAAACTCATGCATATATCTAAAAATGTCTATAAACATAACAAAAATTTGAACTCTACTCAATAGAGTTGATAAGGCATAGGTGAATCTGGTTTTAACTCACTTGGTTTAACATAATATCAAGCTTTTGATGGGCTAGTATTGACTGACCTTCTGCAGAAATTAACCATTAACGATCATTAAAAAATGTACAACTGAAGATGTATGAGATCAACCATTTGTGTTCTTTGGATTTTGTGGTACCACAGTGATGGCATCTTAAGTTCTCTAATGTTTCTTTCTTTTTCAAAATCTCAGAATATTAGTCTTATCTTCCCAATAATAATCATGATTCAAGTTATTCAATCAGTTTATTTTAACAATGATAATGGAATTTCAAAGAGTATACGAACCTGTTCATCGATGAGTAGCATTTTCAGACCAAGGAGGAGTTTGTTCACTGGGTTTCGAGCCTCCCAAAAATGAATCAGACGGAAACGCAACTCAGCCTCGTGGGGACCCAATGAGATATCTTTGAAGAGCATAACTGGGTGAGGATTGGCGGAGAAGACAAGTAATTTTCCGTTTTTTTCATGGCCATGGCTTGAGCTTAATCACAGGAGGTTGCCGATTTTTATGTGTCGAAAGAAAAGAAGTAGCAGTATATAAAGAATGAGGAAGAAGGGGAGGTGAAAAGAAATCATCAAGAAAAAATAAAAGCTCAGTCTTGATTAGAGAGAAGGAGAGGTAACAGAGAGGAGAGGAAGCTAAAGTGGAGAAGACGAAGCTTTTCTGAATTAGATTTCATAAAGATGAACTGGACTTTAGAGAAAATTTTAAGCCCAGAAAAATATACAGTCTCGATAAGCACTGTGACGTGGCAAAACGACATATTTCTATTGACTGATTACTTTTGCCTACGTGGATAGCTTCCCTGATTCTTATATCCCTCTTTTATTATTGTTTGATTAACATAAAAGTAACCAATAATGGATTCTTAAAATTAAATTGGTGGTTATTTTTGTGATTTGATAGCTTTAGAATCTTTGTTATAATTTATTTATTTTTTTCATCCTTCATTGGAAGAATCTCATTGAGGTTCATAAAAATTATTTATTTTTTATTTTTTTTAAGTTGAATGATTTGAAAGAAAATAATACATAATTTTTTTTATTAAAAATGATATAAAAGCATATTAAAAATACAAATACAAATCGTAAATGAGATAGACCGATTAGTTAAAATCTTGATTTGTTCCAATTTTTGTTATATATTCTCAATCAAATCCGTTTTCAATTGTTGATGTATTGTTTTGTTATGTCTAATGATACAAAACCCCGCATGGATTAGTAAGAGAGAAAAAGAAAAAAAAAACAAAAGAAAAGAGAAAGACACTTACAAAAGGAACCAATAAAAAATGATACATTAGGGATTCTTATTAAAAACTCTATTTTAAAAATCGGTTCTTAAATTTTTTTTTATTTTTGATTTAGTTTTTTGGCTTTTGTTTTTTAGAGTCCCTACTTAAGAACGTCCAATGTGCTCTTAAACTCTCTCTCAAACGTAAATGCAGGTCTCACGAATTATTTTTGTGTGAAATACAATTTCAATACATAGAGCGTATGAATACATAGTTGATAGTTTACAACTCCTAAAAACAAAACAAAAATGATTAGGTGTATTATATGAAGTACAAATCATCGTATTAGTATAGTATATTAACGTAATATGATAATTATGGATTATATAATGCATGTAGTTGGATTGAACCAAAAAAGTTGGGGGGGGGGGGTAAAGCTGCTTTTGTGAGGGGCCGAGGTGGCTTTTGGACGATCTTATGAGTCGTTTACTAATTACCTTCGTGGAATCTTCACTACGTTTATCTTTAGTTCTTCATTTCCTGCTTATGCTTCTGCTTCTTCGTCTTCACATCGTGGTTAATTGAAAAATAATAACAAGGTATATCTACTGTGCTTTGTGGATGATTATGGCGCATTAACAATGAAATAGACCACTAATATTTTTACACACCAATGCATTAACAATGAAATAGACCAATAATATTTTTACACACCAATAATATATTGATTCTACAAACATTATCTTTTTTTCATAAAACTGATCAAATCAGGAAAATCCAGTGACTAATTACGATTACAAAACTATTTTGGTCTCATATGATCGAATCTTTGTCGAATATGATGGTAAGTTTTATTGTAATAACAGTACTTAATACTCTCTATGTTTTAAAACATATATTTTTGTGTTTCACACATATTAAAATTTAATTTAATACATGCAATATTATTCTTTAGAATTAGCTATTTCTCATAAATTTAAACTAATAATATTTTAAGAAGTACAATTAAGTTTTAAAACTTTAAAGTTTATCATTTCTAACTAATAAAGTTAAGTATATAACTTTAAAACATGCATTTTCTTGAAACAAAATTTAGTTTTTTAAACGGATGGAGTATGAGACTGCACAAAATTAAAACATACGTTAGTAACTCAACTGGTGGCCTAGTTATATGAAGTGATTATTTAGCATTAGTCGAATAATATACAAAGTAATATATTGTACATCAACAGTGACTTTTCTTGTAATAATGAGACCTGTCACATTTTATCCCAAACAAAATGAAAATTGTTTGAAAATGAAATATATGATCGGACATAAGAAGTGATTTGGAGATCTTGCAAAGTAGGACCAACCAAAATTATTCTTTCGGACCAACCACCAATAAGGCTGGATATTTTATCCGTTAAATTTAATTCGATCCGAAAATTTCGGATATCCGTAAACTTTTGAATCAAAGCAAATATTTCATCCGTTTCGAATTAATTGTCATTCTGGAGAAAAAAATCGTTTCAAAATAAGTGTTGTTTTCAAGTTTCGAGACAAAATTTATTAGTTTTATATGATATTCTATTTTTTTCTATTGGTTGAAAAAGTGGTTAGGTGTATAGATAATTGTATTTTTTTCTTGAAAATATGTAAAATTAAATGTTTTCTTAATCTGTGTGAAAAACGTAGGATGACAATTAAAATGAAATGGAGGGAGTACTAAAAATTAATATCCATTAAAATCGAAGCAAATCACAAATATTAAAATTTGGGAAAACGAATATCTGATCCGATCGAGAAATATATAAATATATGTATATATTAATTATATTTAAAATTTTAAACGTATAAAATTATATAATTATTATTCTAGCACATGATTTTGAACAATTCTATTCACATTATTACTTATATAAATGTATTATATAAAAAAGAAAAACAAATTATGACAATTATATTTTTTGTTGTTAATTTTTGTGTTATTATAATTGCAACTTAAGCTTCAAAAATTACAAAATATGTAAATTTACTAGTTCTTTTAATTTTTATTTTATATATCATGCAAAAAAGTATTTTTGCAAAGCTATTTTATATCACAATTTTAAAATTATTTTTACTAATCAAAATGGATTAGATATCCGTAAATATTTGTAAATATCCGTAAATATCTATTTATTTTCCAGATATCCGTTTTTCCGGGTATCCGTATTTTTTCGAATGAAAACAAATACCAAAATTAGATATCCGTAATAATTAAAACAAATCACAAATACCGTGAAAAATCCAAATATCGAATCCGCGCACACTCCTAACCACCAATTGGCAAACAAATGCTTGTGGTCCACCGTTATTCTCCCTTCTTTCTCTGACCACCTAAATTTATGTCTTTTTATACATTTTTTTTACCTGAAATATCTATGAACAATCTTATCAAAGAGATTTCAACACTAACACTAGCATTTACAAATCCTAACACAAAATAAAGTTAATAGTTATCTCAAAAGTGAGATATCCCGTCAAAAGTGAGATCAGTTCATATTAATTTCTAAAGAGAAATATGGTTGTTGAATAGATTTGCTCTGTAGATATTCATATTCAAATGAACGAAAGCAAAAAGTCATTTTCACATTGGTAGCTAAGATAATACTGTATTTGTTTCAGATCAAATGTCATAATAGAAAAAAAAACTTCATTACAAAATATGTATTATTTTCAATGTAAATTTATTAATTTTATTATTTAATTTATTTTTCTAGTAGTTGAAATATGGTTAGGTACATAAGTAGTTTTGTTTGTATATTATATTAAAGTTATGTAAAAATAATTATTTTATTAATCTATGTGCACAAAATTAAAAGGACACATATTAAAATATAGAGAATATGATTTAATTTTACACAGCAGATAGATCGATCTAAAGTATTAAGCATTCTAAACACATCTCTTTGCCACTCAATGGCAAAATTTCATTTATTTTTCTATATAAACATGTTAAATATTTTTAGTTTTGTGATCATTCCAAATTTGTCATGACCTATCATCAAAAAAACCTTCTCACCTTAATAATTAATTAAGAAATGATTAGTGGATACCAAAAAACAGATATTCCTTATGTTTCATAATGTATTATTAGATTAAAAGCAATGATATTAATAAAACTGTTACTTTGTTAAGAGTAACATTTAATTAGTTATAAATAAACTGACATTATTTGTTTGGCCAAACTGTATATAATCTACTATAATTAAAAGCTCTTATATATTAAGAGCCTATGAGCTATGCCACGTCAGCCAATTTAATCAGTCAATAGGGGCTGCATTTTCTACTACGTCACTGCCATGTCGGATTGTTCAGGTCATTAATATGCTGATTCGTATAGGAAAACAACAAAGATTAGGCAGCAGAGTTGGTAAAACACAGCTCATGTTCGACTCCCACCAGTGATATTTTAATTTTTGTGACCCCACTAATATCCAATCCTGGGACCGCCCCTGCATCTGCTGTACCAGAAGGAGGGCGTTCAGCATCAAACAATCAGATTGTTGACCCAAAGAATGGAAAGAATGGTACACGATTAAGATTAGATCCACCTAAAAAACATAAATGACCATTACATTTCCTTATGTTTTATGTCATCCTTTTCGTTTGGTTATGCACTATAATTTAGATTTTTATCTATTTTTAATTAAACCCAACATGGTGGGTGGTGTTTAACCTATCAATATACATGTCTTCCTTTAAGCTCAAATTAAGTAAACGCAATATAGGCATTGAAGAACTCACTTCCTCTGCATGTTAAAATGTGTTAAAAATATAATTTGAGATGTTAAAACTATTCATCAAAAACTATTTATACAACTTCTGAGCTAATAGTGAATAATGAAACATTATATATATACATACACTCACAAAAGACCTGGAGAACAGAAATGACTTTATGTGGATCATGACCAATAAGTTTATGTGGATCAGGACCAATAAGTTTGGTTCCAATGTGTTTATAGAAGATAGTACACAAAAAAACAGAATTCTTTTGAATTACATTAAAAATAACTCCAGGCAACAAAACTTGCCTTTAAGCATTACTAGAATCTGAAACTGAAAATTTAACAATGTTTCTGTATTAATTTTTTGACACTTCTTACATAGAGGCATATTATACTAACATGGTACATTATTCTCTTTAGTTTAAATCTATTTAAGTTTGCCAAGAGGATTTCACAAAGTTAGGAACAATGTGCACTTAAATATATAATTATATGATCTTTACTTGGTTGACATATTCATAGATAAAACTAGGGGTGGCATGGATCGAATACTACCATAATTTTAAGTATTTGCGGTTTGCTTTTTATTTTACAGATATTTAATTTTTCGATTTGCTTTGTTTCGAAAAATTACGGATATTATTTGTGAAAAATTTACGGATATTTCATCCACTTTGTTCAATATAAATATATTTTTTAAAAAACTATACAAGTTTGTTTCCAAAAATATATTTTACATAACAAAGATTAGTGAAATTATATGTCTCACAAATTTTT